CTTATAGTCCACTTCAGTGCATTTTGTGCAATACAATACAACTTTATTATCCCACATTGGAGAAACTTGTTTGGCCATTTGACACTAAAATATCACAACAAACATATGAAGGTATTAAAATAGTTTAAATTTACTTTTGATTGTTAACTTACCGGTATCTTAATCATGTAATAGACATACTGGAATGCGGAAGCAACCCTTGTCAAAATGGTGGGACCTGCGTGGAAGGAATTAATCGTTATGACTGCATTTGTCCATCTGGTTGGACAGGTCCCACTTGTGCAGTTGAGGTGTTAGAGTGTGGTAGTTCACCATGTCAGAATGGTGGAACTTGCATTGAGTCAGTTGGTGCTTATACTTGCAATTGTGCCCCTGGCTACCAAGGACGAGTTTGCGCTGAAGGTTATTTTTCTTTCATCTTTCCCTATGCAAAAATGTCATATTGTATGCTTTACAAAAATTTTCCAATTAACAATTAAAAAAAAACAACAAACCTTTAAGATTATGTATAAATTCAGAAACTAAGTTTAGAATTTTGGAATTACTTATTGATTTTTCATATTTAAAACACTTCAAAAATAATTTTCTTTCTAATAGATTATATGATAAAACAAATTTAAAATGATAATGCATTTATGTTTAATACATGAATAGAACTAATTAAATAATTTAATTTAATTGTATCAATTATTCACAAGGAGCATTTAGGAACTGACTGATATCTGTTTTTGCAATTGTATATTGCAATCAGATTTTGTAGATGTTGCTAGAAATATTGTAAATCCTCCTTACATATTGATACCTTTGTGAAAAACTTCTAAATAATAATTAGTTATATTTTAAAGATATTTAATACATTTTCTCAGATATTAATGAGTGCAGCAGCACTCCGTGCATGAACGGAGCAGCTTGTGACGACTTTGTTAATTTCTTCCGATGTCGGTGCGCTCCAGGATACCAGGGTACATTCTGTGAACAAGGTGAATAGCCAACACCATTATACCGTCACCAACATATATTCCATATCAATATATTCACAATTGTGACCATTTCTATAAATGTAATATATACAAGACTTAAAAATAATTATCCATTCCAATTCACTTTTGACATTAATTTAGAAATATATCTTGGTTTTAAATTATTGAAGAATTTCATCTGGTTCTGTACAAACTATAGCTTGTTTCTTTTTTCATTTAATTAGAACCTTATCTTGGTTTTGTTGACTTGTTTTTGGTATATTGTTGGTTGAATAATTTTACTCAAGTTGAATTGATGGAAATAATTGCTTTGTTTCTATAGACTACAATGAATGTAATAGCTCACCGTGTACAAATGGCGGTACTTGTAGTGATATAACAAATGCTTACATTTGTAGCTGTCCTGCTGGTTTTACAGGAATTCGTTGTGAAATAGGTGAAAGTTTTGATTGTTTTTAGCACTGGTGCAAACATGCTTGAGATGCTCAAATTGCTTACTGCAATGCACAAATGATTTCCTTAATTTTACATAGTGCACATACTTCTTGGATTTGAAGTAATGTAGATTTTTTTCAATGTGCTCTGCCTCTATGCAAAATACCTATCCCATCCAATCACCCTCACTGGATTTCAGTATCACCTTCTTGTGGTTTGTATGAATTCATTCTGAAATTGGTGTTTTGTATGATTTCTCATTAAAAAAAAAATGAGGCATAATACAATGACAATACATCAAAATTACTACTGCACATGGTTTATCTGTGCACTTTCTTTTCTGATTTGAAAGAATACTTTTCTGCAAGATGTCTTCTAGCTTTTTGCACAACACCTTCTTTTTCCTTTAAGTTCATAAATTCTCATTCATTCAAAGTTGCACAACTTGCTTCAGCTGTGGTTTTTTCTTTTTATATACTTACCTACAAAGTGTGTATTTTCCTCAGAAACTTTTCTTCTGATTTTTCACTATACAGTAAATTTGTTTTTAAATAATTGATATTTTTTTTTTAAACAGAAATAAGATGAAAATTTCACTATTACTTTTATCAATCATCTCTATACAGGTTTTCAAGATCTCATTTAATTTTTTTCTCCTTACATTTTTGTTACAGATTATGTGATTTGTATGTTTGAATAATGTATATGTGCTATATAGGAATACAGTGCATTTGAGTTTAGATAAGTATAGTGATAGCAGGTATAAACTATCAGATATAGGATTATAGTAGGAACAAACTATTTTTAATATAGATAGGAAAGGCAGAATTTGCAGGAATGGCTAGATTCAAAC